TTGGAGCGCTATCTTTACTGGGAAAGAGGAAATTAACAAACGTAAAAGAAATATTGTGGAAAAATTATGGTTCCGTCTGCTAATTTTGAGAGATTTTTTTACTGTAAAGGATTGAGAAATTTATGTCATTTGTTCATTTAACTAATCCTAATTACAAGTTTTTTTTTATTATAAATGCTTATGGTTACATTTTTCATTCTAAATACTCCTATGATGGTACATTATTATCAATAAAATGTTGTTATGAAGATTATTCAGAAATGTGAGATGCGGTCTGGTGTGATGTAGGTTTCAGAAAAACATTTTCTTTATCGTGCCGACGTTTCGATCTTTATTGAGATCATCTTCAGGGCCTGGGATTTACAAACATTGTTTACATTTAACAAATATGTGTAAGATGTGGAAAAAAGTGTTGAATTTAAACAATGTTTATAAATTCCCAGGCCCTGAAGATGATCTCAATGAAGATCGAAACGTCGGCACGATAAAGAAAATGTTTTTCTGAAACCTACATCACACCAGAACGCATCTCACATTTCTGAATAATCATCGACTAACGGTCACTAATCACCACACACATTTTTATGAAGGTAACATTGTGTTTTTGCAGACCTGTTCTCATGATTTTTATTCAATTCGACAAATGATTCCAATCTGTTTAAAAGAAGTCCACAGGACAGTTGGCTTATATAGTTCACAAAGGATAATCCGTTCTAATTTTAGGCCTCATATCGCACACCCACAAGAAAAGTGACACAACTCAACAAAAGACAATTTTTCAAGACAGACAAATGGAAGTTTACTTTTTTTATTTATGTATTAAATACACGCCATTACGATTGTTGGCAATAAAAACAGTCATGATGTATCAATATTGCCTTTCGTTTGTCCAAGACTTAAGCAATAACACAAAACTTTAAAATCCAACGGTTCTACTCCTAAAAATTACCGCTTTTGAATTGTGACACTTTTCTTCTGGATTTGGCCCTCAGTAATTGTGGTTTATGAATGACTAAGTATATTCATTTCTTTGTGATAGTAACTCACAACATACAAACCTTGCAAACAGACATAAATATCCGTTACATATTGCACAATTGATTTCATAATGCGGAATTAATATAGGCCCTGTTGATGAGCTTTAAATAGGTCTAAAGCTTGGTAGAAACTGAATTTACTTTTTTCTTCAAGACCTTGAACCACAGGGTTCATAAGTGAAAAATTATTCGATACTTCTTACACAGAAAACTAAAATAATTCTAAAATTAATACTATCTTGCTCTTGCAATGAACAGAAAAATGCAGCATATATGACTGCTGTTAGACTCAGTTAAGGACATGCAATCTTATTTTTCTCATAAAATATAAACGTGGTGATTCAGTATTTACATTTCGATTTTCTGTAACATTTTTGGACCTGGAACATTGAAATTGAGGAATGATCCTTCCCAGATTTATTAGTGAAATCTAAAGAGCCAGAACTATCAGCACAAGGTCATATTTTTTTTCATAGCCCGTCGTCAAAGTGCAATGAGAAGATCCATAACTTTGTCCTAAGGCTAAAGAGGTGGAATTTGAAAACTGACACACTTCATTACCATTATTGATGGTCGTCAACTAGAATCAGTTTGTACACGTGACGTAAAAACCACTTTCACAGATATTCATTATATGATGAGAAAGGTACGATAAATCTGTTACCACCACGCGATTCCTAGCCAAAATTAACTTGGGGGTTGTTGAATCATTTTTTTGTTAAAGTTTATCGTTTTCGAAACAAACGGGGAGGGCCATCTTGTTAAAAAGAACATACCCCCTCACGTGTCTTCGGTCGGGCTTAACTCAGAAATGGTCGATCCTATCAAATTTTTCCTTTCGGTAAAAGTGGCATAAAATAAGCTTTACAATCTAATTGCACAATAAAAACACAGGATTCTCATTTAAAATAAAAAGTTAAGTGTCATTTCCTAGCTAGATGAGAAAGTTATGATCATTTCTGTAGCGCCGAGCTACTAGCAATATGCAATTTTCTAAATTTCATGCGTTCCGACAACATTAGTAACTACGTGATTTGCTGTGATGCAGAATCTGCCTTACATGCCATGGAACACCCCTATTCAGATGATCCCAATATGCATCAGGTACTGGTGTCACTGGGGAGTCTCCAACTGCAGAGAAGGAGCGTTTGTTTCGTCTGGGTTCACGATCATGTAATTATTAAGGGAAACCATTTGGCAGATTAAGCTGCAAATGAAGCAGCCATTACAGGCCTTCAAATCAGGGACGTCCCAAAGGGTGATATGACTGCAGTTTACAAGTCAAAAACGTAAAGGGTCAATATTCCGGAATAATACACTTGAAAATAAATTCCGGGAAATAAAGGACTGTAGATACATGGCCTACTTCATTCAGGAATAGTAGAACGGAAGAAGTGGTTCTTGCAAGGAGGTTAAGGAGTGGACACCGTAGAGCTATTAAAGGTCATTTGATGATGCGAGAGGAACCTACAATTTGCGGAATGTGCAATCAGAACATCACAATCAAACATATACTTACGTCATGCACATTATACACAGCCCATAGACTTCTGCACTCCTTGCCTACTAGGCGATAACCACGATAGTATACGTAATTTGTTTAATTTTCTCACATCATCAAATCTACTCGACAAAATATGAGCTTCTCACACTGTTTGTCCTTTTCTTTTTCACTTTTTGAGCTAATAAAATATATTAAAAGGAAGAAGGAGGGAAGGAAAAGGGGAAACTAAATAAATAAATAAGTGGATAAATAAATAAAAGAAGTAAATATACTACTTTGTATGCAAATCCCGCGTCCTGCGCGTTTAGGTCGGCCATCCGTGTGGGTGGCTCTACCCAACATGCCGCCTTTGAACCTTTGATATTGTAAGAATGATTGGCACAACCCTTGGTGGTTGCGTTCCCAAGAGAAAAAAAATCTGTTACCACCACGTGATTCCTAGCCAAAATTAACTAGGCGTTTTATACGACCATTTTTTGCCAAAGTTAAGTTTCCAAATTAAGTGGGTTGTGTGGGACTATAGAAGTTGATACACTCTGCATATGTACATATATTATATATAATGATTATTTGGAGATCGTAAGATGTGGTCTGGTGTGCCGTAGGTTTTAGATAAACATTTTCTTTATTGTGCCAACGTATTGAGATCATCTTCAGGGCTCAAAGTGTTTGTTTTCTGTGTAGAAGTGTCATTGTTGTATTGAGAGTGCCAGTGTCACGACGTTATTTAGTTATGGTGGCCGCATAGATAGAAAATCCGAATTCGGATAGGTAAGTTGTGGCAAATGGAAAAAAATGTTTTTTCAAAGAGCAGTTGAAACTTTTTGTTTTCCGTATGGAACCCAAAATGGCGGTTAGAATCAGACTCGTCCATGCATTTCTAGGTGCAGTGAGAAGTAATGTCAATCAAATTAGTCAAAATCAATTTTAGTGCTCGTCTCCCTCTCCCGCTATGTCTCTTAATATGTACTTTTGTTTCTCCAATCTCAGCTCTAGCTCATTTTTTTACCTTTCAGTTTTGTTTTCTCCTTTTGTTTATTTGTTCAATTTTGGACTTTCTTTACTTTATATATGCTTATTTTATGTATTATTCATATTCTGTTTATTGTTATACACATACTGCCGATGCATTGGTAAATATTTAGTTTATTTGGTATTTTGTTAAAAGTATTACATTTAGGTATCATTATATTTATTTAGCTTAATGCATTTGTATGTTTACTTTGTAGGAATTAGTTAATAATACAAACTGAGGCAGGTGGTTACCTTGCTGAATTAAGTTTATTTTCTTGTTTGTATATTTTTTCATGTGCTGGTACAATAAAATCATTACAGAAAAAAAAAATCGAAGCGTGGAACTGAGCACCTACCGTACTTGCCCACTTTTGTAATTTGTATATCCACTGCTGTAGGGTTAAAGATTAGTGTCCAATTTCATGGTGCAGTTTTGCATGTGAGAATTATCATTATATGGGCCACATAGAGATATATCTGAATAACTGTATGTATGTATAATTTTATTTATGGGTTGATAAATATCAAGTGGTCATCACTGGCCCACTGCGCTTTAAATGAAAATTTTTCGTTCCCCTTCCACAATGCATCTTTGTCACTGAATCTGTCATATTTTATCTCCATTTCTTAGATTGCTAACCTCTCGAAGGTTCTTCAGGTTGTCAAAAGACCATTATATGAACAAGAAAAACCATAACAGCACCTCCGCCTGAAACACCCGGACATTGCTTAGAAGAACCCTGCAATGCCATGGCAGCAGTGCCCTCGAACCCCCCCCCCCCACCGACCAGAGAAAGCCATATCAGAGCGTCATGGTACTGGATATTCCAACCACACCAATGTTAAGTTTGACCCTTTCCCTTCACAACCTGGCCTCTGTGGGACAGGAATCAACACCACTCTTTATGTGCTGTAATTTGGCAGAATTCTGTGCCCTGCGATTTTCCTATTTTTCTTTTCACTATTTTTCAATAATCTTACCACATCTGCTGTGCTTTGTCTTCTTCTTCATTTCCCTTTTAATTGTTCCTATATTTTATTTATTAGTAGATCCCAGAAACAACAACTGATGTTCACAACATTTGAGATATCCTTTATGAAAATGACACATAGTTTGATACACAAGAGTTATCGTAGCCAATGTGAAAAACATTTATTTAACTGGGTAATAATAGACATTACTATTGATATATTATATCATTATTATTTGAATCAGGGAAATCATAAACAGACATAGTTAAACTTCAGCTTCAAATATATTTAAAAATATAATTAATATTTTAGCTATCTTGCTACAGTATCTAATAGTGAAAACCGAAAATTAAGAAAATATAATCAAATGTATAAAACTAATGAGACTTTAAATTATACATCCAAAGATAAATGAATGTGGGTCCTCTCCCCAAGAAATACCGTTAAATATAACAAAATAAGAACTTACAAAAAAAAAAAAAAAATCATTCATTTATAGTACTGATATTATAGAAAGCACTAGCGGTACCATAAAAAGAGTTCCACGGAAAGTTGTTCCTGTCAACATGGTATATAAAAACCAGACAACAGCAACGAAAACGCCTTGTATTGCTAAATTGAACCACCTGAGCCTAAAACAAAAATGAAATTTTAATAGTATAATGTTCTGTATAATCAATAACTGTAACAACTGACATTTGATCCTTCTTTCTCGCTTTTTCTACAGTGCTCATCGGATCGTTGTGCAAATACACTCTCACGCCTTTAGCCAACCATTGGAAATAATCAAGCCAGTCCAATGATGTTACATCTAGATTGAAAGATTCTTTGTCTTCATCGTTTAGAGAATTATGTAGCGATAGAGTTTTTTTGTTATCATAAAGCCATTCAGTGAAGATAAAAGCTTTTAGCTGTACTAAGGATTTGTCAATGTTTGTATGCATCCTTACTAATCTGAAGTATAAAACAAGAAAATTTAACATAATGACAAGACTTGAAATACAATGTAATGTATATATTCAAATAATAAGGTAGACTTGTGTATAAGGATGTTTTTCATCCATGGACAGTGACAGCACTTGCTACAGCCAACCTGTGGGTCTGTTACTTCTTTCCTTACACACACCCACAAATTTTCGGCACAATCCCATCCTGTTCATCCCATGTTTTGACTTGGAATTCTACTCAAAAGCCCAATTTTGTTTGTACATCCCATCGTTTTTTACAAATTATCAGTTTAACATATGCCTTTCTGTACATAATGATTAATGCTAAAATTCAATGGGATTTGATAAGGTGAGCAGGGAGTGGGGTACTTCATGTTTCCTTTTCTAACACCAGGCTGGTTTATATTCCGTCTGGATCAGCGAGCAGTTTTTGCCGTATTAATTTGTTATGGCCTGCCATTTAAGATAAGAAAGAAATGTTGATATGATAGAACGGCCCCACCCCGCCTACACCTTAAAACTAATTGACATATCCACGGACTTGTTTCAATGGATAAGTAATTTTGATTTATGTCTGTATCTGCCATGTAACTTGAATATTTGGCAATATAATGTTCTGAGTGCAAATCCCCATGTTTCCCATGGCTCTATATTTAAGAATAGAATGAAAAAAGGATTGTACTAATAGGATGAAAAAAGTATTGTACATATGTAAACTTATTGTTTCAACACAATGAATTTAGAAATTATTTAAATTTTAAAGAAGAAAATTGTTGATACTCACATAGTTTTTCCACCCATGAGCTTGGTCACGCCGTCAAGAATGTAAGCAGGAAGCCAGTGGAAAATAAGAGCTGATACTTTAAACCAAAACAATGATGGGACGAGTTTTAGACATGGGTACCACACTGCAGATTTTAATGGCGAATTATGGAGCAGTTCGTCTAACATAGGGGTGATTAACCTCCACCTGAATGGATTTGATGTGCTTGATGTAAGGTGAAAAACTGGAGTTTCAGCCGGCCTGGAAAAAACATTAGAAATACAACATGAAGAAATTTTGGGAAATTGTTTTTGGTATCGTAATGTTATTTTAGGGTCACAAAATTAAGTTATTACATTACAGTAGCTGCATGCCAAGCACCAACGATCATTCCGTTGACTACGATATCGACAGGAATGTAATCGGCTATTAAGTTCTCATTGACGGGCAATCTTCGGACAACGCCTTTTCCGGCACCCATAATAAACCCTTGTGGACCATTTTTGGAATTTGTCCAGCCTTTGACTGGCTCCTTCCATGATGCTGTAACTAAAAGACGGAACACAAAAGCTTTAAAAAAAAAATAACAATAATAATAAATGACCAGGAGTAATATTTATTATATAATCTGCATTTTTTCTAATTTAAAATTACAACTTGGGTGACAGTCAATATTTTTATAATTATAATTTATTATTTTTTTTATTAATATGTATGTGCAAACAATATTTGCTCTAATAGAAACAATTCATTAACTTGCCATCCTTGAAATGCAACTCTTGCATAATGTTAATTGCCTTCAATGATAAATATTTAAATTTAAAATTGATTAGTCAGCCCTTTTTTGCATTTAGCAACTACATAATTACTGTCAAATTAGACTACTTTTTTTTTTAAGTTAGCCTGGCAAGGGAAAATATCCGACAGAAATGTACGTACTCATGCTCGGCCTGACTATACATGTCGGGAATGAAGATGAAGCATTTCTGACTTCTTGCTCCGCAAGGGCTTTTGTAAATGTGTATGTGTTAATGTATTCCCCAAGAAACCTGAAATGAGTAGATGACCATCGTCAGTATATAAGACTGTTGTTTTCTATGTTTAAGTAACTCACAATTTGGTCTTCTCTTCGATTTGGTCATCTGTCGATTTTTCTACAAAGTCAATAACCTCATCAGCTGTTTTATGAACAGGGTAGAACTCTTCTTGTGGTTTTAACATGTGTGAATTCACAAATGCACTCGATACATGAAGAAGTGCCTGAAAAAAGATAAAATTGATATATATATTTTTTTTAACGGAGCATAAACTTACATTGAGATGTCTGATCTTTTTACACAATTCAACCACACGCCTTGTTCCCAACAAGTTGATTTGTACGGTGGACTTCAAATTTGCCCCAAAATCGAGGGTAGCGGCAGAGTGAAACATTACATTGACATTTTCGGTCAGAATCATAGTGTCACTGTCGCTCAAACCCAAATTTGGTTCTCCGACATCTCCAGCTACTGGAACTAACTTACCAAATACATCCGATCCTTTCTCATTGACCAACCGCTCAAAAATCTGAAAGGAAATAACCATTAAAACACTAAAATATTACAATATAGTCCATAATAGAGTACATCAAAAATACATCAATAAAAACAAAATTTATTCTAATATCCATTACGTTTAGTGGTCTATTGACCAAATTACTTATTTCAATTAATTATTCTTTTTCAGTTCAACCCAGGCCTTACATAAAAAGATTAATTTATTTTAATATTTTTCATTTTGAAAAGATACACTTTTTGTTGAAAAATTGTCAAGTTGATAAGCCAGTACATCAAATTTTTTAAATATGGACAATCTGGGTTAATAGTAATAACATTTGAATAATTATTGCTTTGGTCATTTTGTAAACATTGGAAATACGCAACATTTTGCCTGTCAGGCAAATGCTTTTACTTCACCAGACTAGTAGAAAGACAAGAATAAGGTGATCAGAGATGACCATACAACAAAAATACAATAAAAAATTTAGTTAACGTGCAGTTGAGTTTACAAAAAATGTAAATACAACACAAGTGAATGCAATTTAAAAAACAAAAACCAATAAATAATTAAAAATAAAGTAACTCATATTTGACAACAATTACTATTTTTTAGTATAAAAAGCAACGAAATAAACACTTATTGCACAATTCGAATACATGCTAAAATATCCTTATCTCAATTTGTTTATTCAATTTTTTATTTTTTTTTAAATATATTTTTTGTTTTAGCACAAACAGATAAATTTATAGCTTGGTCGTTTCTTATCTTTTTGGTCTGCAAGTCATATTTCAGCTTTTTGCAATCTTCCATAACGGATTTTACTTATTCAGAAATCGTGAGATGCGGTCTGGTGTGATGTAGGTTTCAGAAAAAAATTTTCTTTATCGTGCCAACGTTTCGATCTTTATTGAGATCATCTTCAGGGCTCAAAGTGTTTGTCTTCTGTGTAATTGTGCCATCCTTGCGTGTGTGTTGAGAGTGCCCTCTGAATTTCTGAATAATTATCGATTAACGGTCACTAATCACCACACATTGGATTTTACATTTACAGATTGAAGGAAAAATCTCACCATCTAACATAATCACAAAAGTGCCACAGAAACTGAAAATATCACCTTTTGGATACATTTTAAAATAGCTAAACCTTACTAGTCTACTCTTTTTAGTTCAAAACTTAATGATTGGAATTTCTTGGTAACTCCTAGCTGGTCTGCACTTTGGTAAATTGAAAAAAGTCTGCGTATTTTGATACTAGGTATGAATATTTTTGGTAACAAGAGGACAGAGAGGCATAATAAATAAATAAATGAAGCCCACTTCCTCCTCATTCGAACATTTTCTTGGTAATGTTCCTATAAATTTCAACGTATTTTGTATTTCCTTATAGCATAGTTTCTTCGAATTTTCGCTAGCTTGTGTTCAGATTTTTTTTAAAAATAAAAATGTCCCATTTTCCAATTGAACTATTTCCTCTATTTCATTATTTTTAAAACGATTGATATATTACAATGTAATGAAGAACTCTTAATATTTTTTACTTTCCGCTTTATAAATCGAACATCTTGATAATTAGAATTATTTTTGTGGTCCCTTGCGTTTGGAATTATCAACAGTCGGCTGTATTTGTTTGTTAAATTTCTTTTATTTTTGGTAGGTAAATATTTCACTGAGTATTTTGAATTGGTCTGCCTATCCTTGCTGATTCGCCCTGTTGGACATGTTTTAGTTGTTTGCAATCTTCCATGATGTATTTCACGTTATCTGACTTTTGTTTTCAATGAATGCACATTTCGTAAAATTATTTTTTTATATTTGTACACGTATGTATTGTCGGGTCTGTTTGATGTATTTTTGCCATGTTGGCAAGGCACAGTATTCTTTTTTGCCGATATTTTGCCTTGAAAGTTTTCCAGAATAAATGCCTTTAGTTCTTCTCTTTCTTTCATATATTTGCCATATATTTGAAAAGCTGAAACAGTGAGGATGGTCAGAAACATCCAAGCTACTGGATTTATTAACAAAATCCCAAGACTAAATCCAAAATTCTTTTTTTTAAATGAAATTAATTTTACAATGGAATTTTGTTTATCGTAGGGGGAAAAAAATAATGGGAATTTACGTAGTATGACGACTCCTGGACTCTGGGCTTCTTAAACATTCAAGGTCGTCTAAAAAAAAAAAAATTAATATTTCTGGGAGTACAATTATCATATAAAAAATGGTCAAGTACGTAAGTTCCACTTTTAGAAGGACGGTTTAATTAAAGAAAAAAAAAAAGGAAAAAAGATTTAATTTTCAGCGCATATGCGTTTACTAAAAACAAACAGGTGAATAAAGGCTCGGAAGAAAAAAAATCCCATAAAACAGGCTTAGTATTCCTACGGATGTCGCATTAACCCATCACGATTATGAAACCAAAACGCGAGAATATCTCATTAACAATCATGACGCGCGTTCATTATGATGAATCATTAAACTGACAATGGAATTTTTTTTTATTAGCGACGTCATAAACCGAAGCTTTGAAAACTAAGTAGTGTTAAAATTTTCTTTTAGCACCCTATCTATGTCAAAAAACAGCGTACCGCGTTCTTTTTGAACTCTTCCAGCCTTTCTGAGATGTCTTTGCCCTTTTTCGTCCTGAGGAGCAGGTACACTTTGTTCACATTAGTAGTCCTGAGAAGTTTCTCGACGAGGGCGATCCCGACGAACCCCGTGCCCCCGGTGAGGAACACATTCTTTCCGTTGAAAAACGCTTTCACTCTACTCTCAGTCATTTCTGAAACGAAGAAAACAGAGCATTATTATAAAGAAAAAAATTTTTCAATTTGGGTTCATATACTGCATTAAATGATTTACATTAAAATATAAGACTGTCCTAAACGACTGTTGCTTTCTGTCAATGTTTTATTTCAAGTGTGCGTTAGTGTGTGTATAAATTGTGACGGTGTGATATACAAAGTAGTGTATTTGTACAGAGTACGACCGGGGATTGGTGGGACAAGACTTTTTTAGTCATAATTTGTTTTTCATGGAACTAATATGGAATTTTGTTTTAGCACCTCTAGAAGAGACCCCTAAATATAATTTTTTAAAATTAAATTTATTGATATTTTTTACCCCTATAAATTTTCCGATTTTTAGAAGTCGTTATCGGAATATCTGATTTAAACGGCTATAATACAAAAACGGCTAAAATGATTTTGACGTTAAACAGACCATTTGAAAGAAAAACGTAGCTTTTTAACGACGCATGTACCATTAAAATATATAAAATATATTTCTATAGAAAAATCCGCAAAATAGAAATTATCCTCGTTTTTAAATGAAAATAACCTTCCGATATTAATGTTTGATACAGTTATAAAATTTCTTTAAAACGGATGATCAGCCATGAAAATCGGCCCACTAACTTTTGAGAAAAATGATGTTTGAATGCATTTGAGCTAGGAATGCCAGGCTTAAGGTCGTAGAAATTAATTAATTAATTTACTCCGATTTCCGTGAAAGTACATATATTAAGTGCTTAAGTGTACATATATTAAGTGCTTAAGTGTACAACACGTTGTTACTGGAAAAGTGGAGTCGAAAATAGGTAATTCCCTAAATACACCCACTTTTTCAATAACAACGTGTTTATTTTAAATAGGCTTAAGGGAATTTTCAATAAATCGTGTTAATCGGGATAATGAAACTTTTTTCAAAATCTAACATTATTCGCAATTAAATGAGCTTAAATCGTTATTTAAAGATTTTTAAAAAATTATTTTTAGTGTATTAATTTCATTGTTGGTAAACATAAATAAAAAATGTTCTACGAATATGACGTAGAATATTCTAATTTGGGAGGGGGTGTTTAGTGACCGTGAGTTAATGATTATTTGGTGATCGTGAGATGCGGTCTGGTGTGACGTAGGTTTAGAAAAACATTTTCTTTATCGTGCCAACGTTTCGATCTTTATTGAGATCATCTTCAGGGCTCAGTGTTTGTTTTCGGCGTAGGTATGTCACTATTGTGTGCCGTGTTGAGAGTGTCGTAGTATTTGGGCACACTCAGCACAGCACACAATAATGACACACCTACACTGAAAACAAACATTGAGCCCGGAAGATGATCTCAATAAAGATAGAAACATGGCACGATAAAGAAAAAGTTTTTCTAAACTTACTTCACACCTGACCGCACCTCTCGATTTCCAAACATTCTAATTTGGTATGATTTAAAAAGATAAATCAACAAAATACTGTTGTTTCTTTTTTGCATATTTCAACAAACATTCAGAAACTGGTCAAAACTTGGATTTGATCTTATTGTCGTGGTTCTGGCGTTATAAAATCCTTTGATACCAACTTTCGTGAAAATCGGTGGAAATTATTTTTTGATTGACTGGTGCATGCTCTAAAATCATTTTTTCTCAAAAGCTAAGTGGACCGATTTTCATGGTTGATTATTCGTTTTAACATTAAAATCAGACTATTATTTCCATTAAAAAAAGAGGTTGATTAACAAATAATTTTAATATTTTGTGTATTTTCTATGTATATTCTCTTTTATATATTCTAATCTTTTTAACGACGTTAAAAAGCTATTTTCCTCTTCTTTCAAATGGTCTATTTAACGTTAAAATTCGTTAAGCCGTTTTTGAATTATGATCGTTACAATATTCCGAAAACGACTTCGCAAAAATAGGACCAAAATTAGGGGCCAAAAATTGATAAATTTAAATCCAAACAAAGATTTATATTTAGGGTCTCTAGAGCTGCTGAAACGAAATTTCATCTTAATTTTTAAAAAAACTTTATAACCTAGTTGACTTGAAAGAAATTTGGTTTTTAATTATTGATAAACTTTTATAGCTTTTACTATATTTTTACTGCAATCTACATAAAAATGCTGTGAAATGATATATTCACGTAGTTGATTTGAATAGAAGGGCGAAATAAAAACATTAAAAATCGGAAAATTTCAAAGTTCAAAACTTTTTTGTCATAAGCCAGGGCATATTCACCAGAAGTGACGCATACACTCATTTTGGAGTGTAGTACCTCCAAGAAACGTTTGGTCCAAATCCGTGACCCACCAACAATCACCATATCACGCACGCTGTCGTATTTTAAGTATCTGCCTTAATAAGTAAACTCGATTATCTGCCTGCGATATATTTTCGTAAAAATCACCGATCAAGGAAAAAGCCTGGGATTTTCTGAATTGTCAATACAACGTGCAGGACAAGACAATTCGTTCAAACATTTTGCAATATCCTCTCTTCAACAATCTTAATGGAAATCAAACTGGATTGCGTAACATTTGAGAGGTTGTGGCCTTAAAATTTGGTCGGATTTAACTTTGTAAGTCAAACAAGTAACGCATGCCTTAAGTAAACAGGGATTTTGCAACATTTTTCACAAGTTCCCATGGCCGAAAAGGATCGTTTCAACATGATATACAGGTAAAAGGCAGAAACCGGGACGGCGAAACTTGTCCATGGGAGAGAAATCACGGACTTTCATCTAGCTCTAAATATAGCCGGCAGAATACCTGTTGTGCCGGCTACTTGTAAACAACATCTGTAAACAATAAATCTAAATTTTAAATTATGTCCAAGCTTTAATTTTGAGTAAAAACAAACCATTCCAGTATTTTCCACACACAAATAGTTAAGGGAGTACCTTCGGTAAAGAAAAACAATAAAATCATAGAATAAACAACACAAATTTACTTATAAACAATATACAGTCGGTTCCTGTTAATTCAAAAATATTCTGAATTTTTTGATACACTAGGAATACTATTTACTCAATATGTTGGAGCGTTAAGGGCACGCCCAACAAATTAACTTTCTCGTTCTATTTATTTATAAATTCTGTGTACTGTATTGAGCTTTTCGACATTGTTTCATTTCCAATAACAATCTGACATAAGTGGTGATTGAGTTTTAAAAAAATAATACATAAAAGTGTCTATAGAAATTTGAATTCACAACATTCTTATTGAACGATATTTCATCATAATAGGAGGGTCTGCTAATTTGTAATCAAAGGTAGTCCTTGATTTCGGGTTTTTTTCTTCAGATTTACCCATGATTAACCCATATTCATTCAACACGTTTACCTTGGTTGCATTTTTTAAGACCGTGCTGGATTTTTTTCCCATTCATTCTTTCTATCAACGTCACCATATTTCCCTCTTTTTAAAAAATAAATGGAATTTTTCCCAGATTGCCGCCGTTAAACCTTAGATGGTTCCTACCGACACAGGTGGTGAAGGTCGACGATGACGGCCGTGGAGGCAGAGATGAAGTCGTCAATTTTCTTGTCGACAGTTTGTCACTATCTTTAAAACAATGTAATTTATTAAACTTGAATCCCATTCGGCTAATTTAGGCAGGTAGAACCAGTGATATGAAGATTTCGTTCCAACATTTGTGGAGTCTATTGTGAACCATCTTTTTTTCTAACGTAGTTGTGAAGTATACAAACTGCTGTAATAATGTCGTCGATCTCATTCAGGTCTAAGCATCGTATCGGATTATTGAGTACTTGGAATTTTTCTGCCTACATGCTAAAAGTGCATTCAATTGTTTTTTGTTCCGCGGGTTAATCATTTCATTAACTCATTTGACGGTACCATGACATTGTCCTCCTTATCACTTGAATTACTCATTACACCACCTTAAAAAAAGTGATGAGAACCCTCCTTGCACCAGTATAACAAAAATCGTACCGTGTATGGGATCGCGTTTAGGTTGTGGTTGCGTTGCAGTCCCATCGCGAATTAGTACGAAGACCAAACCGTACACCAGACCGCATCTCACGATTTCTGAATAATTATCGATTAACGGTCACTAATCACCACACATTAATATGAAGGGCCATAGTCTTGACAGCCTATTGCAATTTGACCCCACCAGGTCCAATTTTGTAAAAAATTGACTTATCGCATCCACAGTTGTGGACTGAGACAAAATACTGAGGATTGATTCGACTTGTGGCAGTTCTAATTTACAATCAGTCAAATCTTTGAAAATCAATGTAAAACAACTTTTCTCATGTATATTGTAAATTGTTCAATCGACTATTTGAATTATTGACACTTTGTAAAAACTTTAGATAGTTCTGAACACCTGGAAATAACGTTCGTATGCGCACCATCCAAGACTGTTGATAGTTATGAAACATGAAGACTTCTTTGGTTTATAATCTGTGAAATGTTTGAAAATTAATTGAAATATATTATCAATAGTTATCAACTATTTGAACTATTGACTTGATTGTAAAAATTATTGATGTACTGAAGTAGACCTAACTATTCCGTTCGAATTTAAAGCCAGCCCAGCCTGTTGACAATTTGTAAACACGGATATTTATTTGAATTATAAACAACGAAATTTTGAAAATCAATTTCAAAAGACTTCTCATGGAAAATCGTTTTCGTCGTCGTATTATTTTGAAAAGTCTACAGGAATGACAAAGAAGTGCATCCTGACCCCCAACAGCAGGTCATTTAAAAAATTGACTTTTTATCGCTCCCACTGTTGTGAACTGCGACAGAACACTGAATTCATTCGACTTATGGCGATTCTTAATTATAAGCTGTCAAATTTTTAAAAATCAATTTTAAACAACTTTTCTCGAGTACAATTGCTTTTATTTTTGGGAGATAAATATGTCAATTGTAGTTTCAGATCATTTTGGTCTGCCTATCCTTGCTGATTCGCCCTATAGGTGGACATCTTTTAGTTTTTTATAAACTTCCATGACGTGTTTCACGTTATCTGACTTTTGTTGTCAGGAATTAACATTTCGTACATTTTTGTATGTTTGTAAGTGTATGTATTGACCAGTCTGTTCGGTGTATTTTTGCCACTTTTGCAAATTATAGTATTCTTTTGTTTTAACGATATTTTGGCTCGAATATTTTCCAAAAGTAGTTGCGTTTAGTTCTTCTCCTTCCTTCATATATTGCCAGCAAATGTCATCATTTCCTGTCAATTAAAATTGAGTTTATGCACGTTTGCATAATTTATTAAAAAACAAAAAAACACGAAAATTTCCCACTGGCTATAGGGAAAAGCTGAAACAGTGTGGATGGTCAGAAACAGCCAAGCCAATGGTTCATCAACAAAACTCCAAGAATAAATCCAGATTTTTTTAAAAATTAATTTTACATTTGAATTTGTTTTATGAATTGAATGACCGTATTGAATATATGAGTAATTTTAAAAACTATCGATTGCACTTTAGACAATAACGTTCGTGTGTGCTGCCATTGTGAAATAATATTTTTCGAATTATAAGCTGTCAAATTTGCATAAATCAATTTAAAAACTCCACCCTGTTTTAATTAATGCTTGGACTTTTTGCCATAGTAATAACTGCAAGTTTGTCAAGCGAGAAGAAAGAAAGCTCATTAACATAATCTGCCGGTACCTCTCAAAGAAACTATTTCAACAATCAGAATTTTTAACAGGTTAATTATTCTTGATAACGTTACATTCTCTTACGTATTATGAGCTAAAGTTAATTTACAACACTTTAGAAGTAAACTTTACTGCATAATAATTAATCGATTGCGGTTGAACACTGCCCCGTGTTTTTTTTTTGTCTTTTTGACTTGTTAAGTAGTGTTATATTAAAAAACAAAACATCAAAGCGAGGCGGAGAGATAGGGCTATAGTGAAAACTAATTGAAAACCGGGTTGTAATAAAAATAAATAATTGCAGGTTGAAAAAATGCAAATCGCTCACCGGTGTTGTTAGCTTTCCACTGAAGCCTTCCGTTGGAAGCTCAAAGAAATTTGTTGGTGGATTTTCAAAATCGTCCTTCTTTCTCTTCTGATCCCCTTTTTCTGCCGTTCTGTGTGATGAAAGTCGAGTTGAACAAATTACAGATGAAGAGAACCGGTCGAAGCCTGCGACTGTTGTTCCATTCACTAGTGCGAATCCAGTGAAAGCCGATGGCAGTGTTTCCACCATCCTAGTTAAAAGTTCCCTCGGCCTAGAAAATTTCCCTTTGCCGCACTGCTTCATGCCGAACAACTATCATTTTATTTTATTTTTTAACTAATGGTAAATCTATCTTCAACACTTATTTGAACACAATTCCGTCTTTTAAATGTAAACAGTCTCAATAAAATCTTAATCAATCTAACAAGTAAGCCAAAACTCTAAATCAGGGATGATTCTACTAGCAAAGGGATTTAACACAAGCGACGCTCCCACGATTAGCGTGTGCCATTGGTCTTGACTAACTACTAAGAACAGTCTTCTGGGGTGACTGCCTGATGTGAGTCCTTGTCTGGACTAAGGACAGTCTTCGCATGTGACTCCGTGGTGAGCATTTGGTTGTGACTAAGGTCAGTCTTCTGAGGTGACTGCCTGAAGTGGGTCCTTGGTCATGTCTAAGGGCAGTATTCTGAGGTGAGTCCTTGGTATTCACTAAGGACAATCTTCCAAGGTGACTGCCTGAGGTGTGTCATTCGTCTTGACTAAGAACACACTTCTGAAGTGACTTCCTTAAGTGAGTCCTTGGTGTTAATTAAGGACAATCTTCTGAGGTGACTACCCGGGGTGAGTCTTTGATCTCAAAAAAGAGACCAAAGAGAGAGACCTAAGAAGACTGCCAGGGAAACATAGCCCTGCAATACTTACACAGTTGGTCAAATAAATAATATTGTCGACAGGTGTCCCAGACCTAGGTGAGAGCCAAAGCACGCTTCCCACGAACCTGGAAAACAAAGTTGCAACAGTTGGACAATCGATAAAATAAATATACATCTTGTCGATACTACAAGCATTAAGTCAATTTTTGACAGATATAAAACAAGTAAAAATATATACATATAAATAAGGTATATATAATAACAATGATGAAAAATCACTAGAAAAGAGTTATGTGGCAGAAATAAAAACAGATAATCAGTGGTCAGTTTGCTTAAAAAAAAATCCCATCTTCAGTGATAACTTTTGCCAGCCTGGAAGGATGTACATACTTCAGCATAATTATCCAAAATATATTTGATATATACAAGAGAGCTGATTGTTATTGTTCTAAGTTTTTAACTAACCTGACCACTGATGAAATGAACAACTTTAAGGAAAAAACATACATTTTAATAGAAATAGATAAAAATTGTAGCTAGCATAATCAAAATCGGAAAAATTTCTGATTATAGTTTTATTGATTGAATAAACCTAATATTTTTTAAATAAAAAAATTCAATCAATTTTTTTATAAAAAATTAAACTGTAGCAGTTAGATGGAAGGTTACCACTGTATTAGGCAGTGAGTTATTACTCAAAAAACATTATGAAGGTAGCATGAGTTAGATAGATAAAACAGATAGGAGAGTATGTGAAAAATAGAGAAAGATGTATGTACATATATACTACATTGATAGAAAGTAAATATAATGTCTATATAATCCATATAATAAATAAAGTATGGTTACATAGAAAGAGAGAGAATGTGTATGGGACAGAGAGAGAGGGAGAGGGAGAGTGAGTGAGTGAGAGAGAGAGAGAGAGAGAGAGAGAGAGAGAGAGAGAGAGTGAGAGAGAGAGAGATTACTGCTCACAGGCAGTTAGTAATATTTGAGATTAATGAACCTCTCCTGAATTAATCAATTGTCTTTTTATGCTATTCTTGCAGTGGTAATGTAATATTTATATCTTAGGTTCAATGGGTAGTTCTTGGGTTTATATAATCTTGTTCATTGCGTTGGCAATGACATAAGTTGTTTTTGATTAACATTTTTTATTTATTTGCCAAATATCAAAGATGAAGTGTCTTTACTAATATTGGTTTTTCAAATAATTTTATTTATTTTTTGCTAGATGTATAGCAGTTTGGACTATTGGCTTCAGTTTAACCTCTCTCAGGAGACTTGAAGAGAGAGAACCAGGTAAGTCATAGAAATACATAGACATTAGATAAAATTATTAAAGCTTTGAACCGTGTTGAGGAGATGTAAGAGTGAGTTTTAAACTTAAGCTTATTTAAAGCAGTTTAAATTATCCTATTTATTTATTTCACTGGTGCTTTTCCGAATTTTAAGCCTTAATTTCTACAAATTACTCCTTCCAATAGTAACAATACTGTTCATTTCCTAGTTCTGTTAATCCTGTGAAATTATGTTGTGTCACATTCTAGTATCGGGTGTATTGATTGATGCCTGCTTATTCATTTTCGTGAATTGGAAAAATGATAAAAGTTATCTAAAAATCTCTGACGACCTAACAATCTCAATTAATACAGTCATTCTACCTGGGTTGCACTGATATATCAATTTGCGAAGTACATATGATGCCTATTAACACAATAAAATATTTTAATAATGGATTGCTCTGGACTAAACAAATATAAGTCAGTCAAACTGGTGTTTTAGAAAAGCATAAAGTAAAAAATAAAATAAAATAAGAAAGAAACAATTTATTTCTTCTTCTGAATATTACAAAAATAATATACAAATTGCAACAGATATCTGCGCAAGTTTGAGCATTTGAAATTTTGATGTACTAACATATTTACACTTTTTTTTTTTTAAATTGATTTTATACTGAGCATCAATAACAAGGTTGGAGGTCGGAGAAGTAGCAACCAGACAACATTTAAAATTAAAACATAATTTTCAACTTCTAGTATGTTGATTTTGTGAAATTAACTAATATTGTATGGTTGACATTACTCCTAGCTCTCCATATTTTATGTACAGACTGTGAAATTACAGACACCTCGATGTTTGAACAACGAACTATTATTTATAACAGTAATACTAACACTTATGGAAGTCAACATAAGGCACAAACACTGTCTAAAAAGTCCCAACTTTTTGTTTGGGAATTATCTAAAAATCTATTAACTTCGTCTATTTACATAACATAGTTAACTATAATTTATAATAAGTACTCCCTTGACTGGACGGAATACAGTTTATATTTCATAAATATATACATATATAATTTTATTATTATTTGTATTTTAATAACATTTTGTTTAAATCCAATTACTGGATATATATTTACTATAAGTGACAACAAATTGCATTTTATTTTCTAAATAAATACACAAGAAAAAAATAGATTTATGATTTTTTTATTATTATTTTATTTATTTACTTTTTTTTTTCAAGGAAAAGAACTCTATAATAAATCATTTTGCTCTTAACCACTTTCATGATATGTATTATTTATAAAATAAAACAAATCATTTACATTACAATCACAATTCAACAATCTCATTAAAAAATATTTTAAATGCTCAGTTTTTATAGTATTTATTGCAACAAAAGACTAAAGCTGTTTTGTTTTTCAAATGGTAAATTTTGTAAAACTTAATACTACATGCTAAATACATTAACAAAATTTATAGCAACGTCCAGAAATTTAAAACAAATTAAATTGAACAACGTTAAAAATATTATGATTGATCACCGACAAACGCAGGATTGTTTATGTCTGGATATTTATGACCGTTGGTATGCCCATTAGCCTGCTTGGCCTTTTTGTCGTCGTTAGCGGCGTAGTGGGCCGTGCCTTCTAGACTCAGCGTCTCTTGCCTTCCGGAGTTGCGAATAAGGCAGAAAATGGAAAGCACCAAAAGTAGAGCACCCACAATAAAAAGGATATAAAGAAGAGCAGTCTTTAGTATCGGAGGCACAGTTGTCGCAAGGTTTAGCAAGTTGGTAACTTCCTCCGGTAATCCACTGATTCCCTATTGAAAAAAGTAAATTTTTAATAGAATTAGAAAGTTTATTTTATTTTATTTTTTTAATGTATTAATTGCAATCAGCAATATTATTTGCAACGTGTAATGAATTAAATTGACAAATGACATGGATCATGATGAGAGTTAACAATCATTGTGGTTCTCCCAGCTACACGTGAAGACTAATCCTCATTTAGTAGGTCATGAGGTTCTTCAGTCATCTGGTGGGAATATAGGGGTGATTTCTATTGGATAAGAATTGGGCAATTCAGTTGGGGGTGATAGAAGTGTTTATTGTGTTAAATGAAAAACGTTTTAAAAATTATTTGTTGCTTGAAAGGGATTTTGTGATCATTGGGAAAGATGTGTTTTGGAGATTTTGGAGCAGGGAGATGATCATGTCTAGTCATTTTTGGTCTTGAAATTTGGTTGTTACCAGTAATTTTGATCTGTCTATCCTTACTAGGTTGGTCTGTCAGATGGGTTTTGGCATTTCACTATCTTCGGCGATGGGTCTCTTGTCTTGGTGGAGCTGAGATACATCTGACAGATCAACCCAGCAAGGATAGGCAGGTCAAAATGATCAGTAACGACCAAATTTCAAGTGCATCACCCCACTAACAACAAATAAAAATTTATAAATTTTGTAAACAGCAGCAAGATTTTTTCTATAATTTGGTTGCTACCAATCGTTCTTATCTGCTTAACCTTGGTGGTTTGCCCTTTTAGGCCATTTCAGCATTTTGCCATCTTCAGTAGGTCATGGGTGGCGAAAAGCATCTGACATTACCAATACAGCAAGGATAGGCAGACCAAAATGATCAGTAACGACAAATTTAGGTCATCACACCGAAGAAATGGAAAAATCTCACATTTTTGGTCAGCTTATCCTCTCGCTGGTTTGGACTGTCAGGCACAGTTCAGCTTTTCTATGCCTAAATTTTTAACAAAAAATTCTAATATGTGTTGGTTTTTCAATCTTCACTTACATCTTCGAACCACATTATTGGGAAAACAATGTCAGGGAAGGTAGCAACTTGTTTGATGTCAACAACTTGGCTGACGGCGAGGTTGATTTGTACTCTTGCTTGAGCTCTTAACGCCACTCCCATGTTCTGAAATACAAGTAGTAATGAGTGTTGTGATCTTTTACAAAATAATAAAAACACTTACTGGTTGCACGTCAAGCCAGAATCCATGCTTTTCTTTTTCCGGTTCTGAAATTCCTTCAACAGCTTCACGAAGTTTTGGGTCAGCAAGATAAAAATGAGGAAAGGAAAGCATAACAGGAGAATCTACAAAAAATAAAATGATAAAATTTAAACGAACAACCCATGATATGTTTTAAATTACCATATTGGCAAAGAGAGACATTGAAAAGTCCATGGGGAGCGCAAGGTGGACCTGATGGGCAGAAACAGTCGTTGTAGGGGTTCTTCTCAATTTCTGCAAAAACATCATCTGGTGGAGCAAATCTATATCCAAGAACGTCTCCACTAGTCTGGACCTCTTTCTGAAATCTAATACAAATTTATTTTATGAGGCGTGACGAACCTGTAATTTGGTCATTTCTAAACATTTTAGTATGCTTATCCTTGCTGTTTTCAACTGTCAGATGTGCTCTGGTTTATTGCAATCTTCAGTGGTGGGTTTGAAGATTTTTGTTTACAACTACCATTTCTCCTGCTTATACCCTGACCCATAATGGAAGTTATCGCAAAGCAAAAACTTTCTTTTGATTAAAATGATTTAATGATATTTAACATTTTAAAGATATTACAATTAATTAAGGTTTTTAGTTGAGATAATTGGTCAAGCGGACCACAAAATTAGTGTATTTAATGATTTTCAAGATAATTGACAATTAGTTACAACATAGGCTTGAGTATGACTAAACGAATAAAATTTAAATTTGAAACAAGTTTTAAAATTTGAATGAAGCACAACTTTATTTAAATTAATCAAATATCTCCTTGAAATAATCTAGGTATGTTTGCAAGTTGTTAAATCATTGAAAACAATGGATGCTTACTTTAATGGAAGAAGTCGGCAGAGATCTTTGTCAAATACGTGTAGCGTTGTGTTGTGATCGATGTGTGGTGGGAAAATAGATCCATCACTGCCTGTGAGTCGGTTGCACTCTTCTGTCTTCCAATGCGGCAGATGAGATATGCCGTTAAATTTGTCAACAAGACCAAACTTTGTTATATCATTGGCACCAGTGAATACAGTCATAATGTCTTTTGAAGTTCCGTTTTTCTAAAAATACAAAGGTCAGATTAGTTTGACATTCACATTGGGATTTTTTCCCCCTACTTACGCCATACATGAGCCCGAACTCTTCGTACGGAAGTTTCTGCTCTTTAGGTACGACATCTTTCGCCAACTTCAATAGAGGGTCTTCGTACCCCCAAAGTAACTCGCTTACAGACACCTCTACAAACGGCTGGATTTTGAGTATGTCCATAATTGAAGCCATGGCGAGCCTCAAGAATCTAGCCGCATGCTTACTCTGAGATGTAGCACTCTGAACAGCAATAGAAAAATTTTAAGGTTAATAACACTAATGACAATGCAAAAATAAAAAGTGACAAAACAAATTGCACTTACAAGCATAGGTATGTTGGGAACGACGACCATATCATTTTCATCTCCAACTGACTGATCTGGGTCGAAGCGGTAGATTTTTTGCTGCTGGAATGTCACAGTTCCGTTTTCATTGAACGTCAGATTCACCTTTTCCCAGCGTTGCCTGCAATTTGAAAATGAGAAGTGTCAATTAGAAAATATTTTGAAAAAGAAACTAAATTCATTTCCGTTAAATTATTAAAAAAATGAATGTATTCTACAGATTTCTAAGGTTTGGAACTTGTTTGGAACAATCAAAAACATCGGATAATGAATGAGGTTTGAATCAGATTTTACAAATCTTGCCTAAGCTGTTAAATGTTTAAATATGGCCATTACGGATTACTGTTTTATATAAGATCAGTTCTGCATACATATTTTACATATATACACACATGTCCAGAATCAAACTTATGAAGTGACTCCTATCTCATCTACCTTGGAGGTTTTAGTTGTCACCTCATTCTTATCCATCTCATCATCAAATGAGGCTCCAGAGTTGTCAATAGCTAGATCATTTCAGACCCCAATGCATGCAGCAATCTATCGTATTTACTCGCTCAATTAGGGTGGTACATACTCATTTTTCCTTCATCACTCTTTACACATACTATCTATATCTAACTAATCTAACTGAGGACTTATGGAGTCTTTAGACCCATCAGAAGCCCTCTAAATACATTCATTCTAAATATGGACAAAAACAAATAGAAAACCAGTTATCTATATACAACAAACAGGCCTTTTTTCACCAAAAATTAGAATAGAGCTTAATTAAATTTTGTACCCTCGGAGCAAAACTGGGTAAGTAAGATTTTGGCAAGAGATAAGTGCATATACCAGTGGCTTTCGGCCTGACAGATTGTGTATAATTGATAAAGTCAGTAAGGAAAAGGGTAAAAAGTTACTAAAAAATGAATTTGTGCCAATGATCAACCATCACAGTCCTGAAAAGTTGTGTTTTTGGACTTATCCAGTTCTGCCAGAGAATTATCATATTGGGTGGCATTCCTACTCGCTCGCTACATGGAGCCAAGAACAGGAACCATTCAATTGTGTTGGACTCATGAAGCAACCTTTCTCTTCATATCAGTCACACACAAGGATAATTATGGCAATTTAAAACATATATTAAATATTATCAATGAATGTATTTTAATGACGTTTTTGGCATAAACACAGAATATTCAGTAACACTGTTTAAGTTTTCCAATTATTTGTAAAGTAATAACTACTTTATTAGCTCTATGTAATAAATTTAATAAACTATTCAAGAATTTAATAAAGCTTATAGAATGATTAATAGAAGAATTATAAAAAATTATAAATTATAGAATTATAAAATGATTAATAATATTGATATTATAGTTACGTAGGTTCTGATCATTTTGGTCTCCCTATCGTCTATTTACCCATCTTTTTCACTGATTCATCATTGCACAAACCTCAAGGAAAATCTCACAAAAATGTAGGTGATATAAAATGGACTTATTTTGAATTTTTAATGCAATAAAGCAATTTCCATTTATTATTTCAATATAATAAATATTATATAAATGTAGGTATTACATTTTCATTTTTCTGTGGAATTTAATTCACCTCATGACCTAATCTTTACTTCTAATGATCTTGTCAACAATAGTTATGAAACAAACAAAAACAAAATATTTAAAAACACACACCAAAACATTATCAACTAATATAAGTGAGAATGGTTGTTTAAATACAAAATTTGATTCAGTTATACAGTTTGTTTAGGTCCTGAATTTGTTTATTTCGGTTGAGTTTTATGATTTATACCAAAATGCAGACCAAGAAATATTAATTTTTTTTTTTTTTTTTTTTTTTTTTTGACAGGGGCATCTGACAGCTTGGTCATTTCAGCACAGATACACAATCACACCAATAAATACATTCATACCTATATACATTGATCGCACTCATACTGTTCGGAAGATGGAGTACTCCATATTCCTCCATCTACCTATTCCTTATAATAAACTTATCTAGATTGGGGTCGATGGGGTACTTTTATAAATATTCCGCCATTGACCCAAGTCACGTACACAGCTCGAGGGGCGATAGGGTTGCTATTCCACCATCAGCCCCTCCACATTCACTCTAATAAATACACTCACTCAAACAAAACACATATTTTGAAGGCTATATACAATAAAATAATTCCCCTAAAAACCGTGTTTGAGACACACACTTCTTAGATCCAGCGGCATGCCTACACGCTCTGTGTATGGAGCAAAGGCATGACACACCTCTATTCTTCTAATTCTTATCAACAACAATATAAAAAATACGTAAATTAATTATACATTAGTTATATTTGTATTTAAGTGAAATTCTGTAATGCCCTATCAATTAAAAAAACGAAACATGCAACAAAAGAAAGAACTTCATTATTCTAAGAAGGTCAGGATTATAAGCAAGGAGATGGATGCAAAGCACAAAAATGATATATAGTCTTAGCTTTTATCTGTCAGCCTTGAATGGTGGAATTTTGAGAAGGGCGAGGTTAAGTTGGCATAAATAGGATTCTGTTCCTTCTGCCTGCTTATACCCCTGAAGCTGGCGAAAACCACGAAAACATCCAACAACAACTTTTAATTAGACATATTACTGAATATGAATAAATCGACGCACTTTTTTTTTAGTACAAAACCTATTTTGAAAAAGCTACAAATTAATTTAATATATTTATTTATATATATATTATATATTCATTTATATTTATTTCAAAATTGGGTTAATTACGAATCAAAATTAGAAATTTCTTCCTCCCAACTATCTTCAATTATATTAATTGGTACCATACCTTAGGATAAAAAAAACAAAACAAAAAATATGCATTAATAAGAAAGTAAAATGAAAAGAAGAATTAAAACAAAGGTTTTTCACTGCTTTCATCAAAATGAAAGCATTTTCACTAATGAAACACGTAAAACAATAAAACTGTTGTTGACAGTCGATAAAATTACCAGCTTTGATTTGCACCAAAACATGAGAATCAAAACGCGCATTCATAATCAGAATGATCATGGCATTTCATTGAAAATCATGACGTGCCGTTTGCCTTCAGGGAGCCGAATAAGCAAATTCCAAAGACTCAACTCTTCCAGGAAAACGAACCTGAGACATACGAATCATACTACATTCTTTCCTCCTTCCTGATACGATTATTCCGTTCTGTACTTCCTTCCTCTTAAAAACCGTCTGGACGATCGACTGACTGATTTACATTTTGGTGATCTCATCTCGACTTCTAAGGAATTCTTAGTAGTTAGGGGGAAATGTGGTCCTATGGATTGTTTCAGGGGTTTTTGAAATCCTTGCTTACTCCTCACACACACATGACGTGGCACTCCGCTCCTTCTTACTCACTCTATCTCACTTCCTCCTCTTATTCTTTCTTTCTCTCTCTCTCTCTTTCTCTCTCTCTCTCTCTTTCTCTTTCTCTCTCTCTCTCTCTCTCTCTCTCTCTCTCTCTCTCTCTCTCTCTCTCTCTCTCTCTTTTTTCTATATTCTTTTTTTCTCTCCTTCTCGCTCACTTTTCCTTCTTGCTTCTAAGATGTATTTAATAATCCACATATGAATTTAGTAGTCATAATTGACCATAAAAGTATTTGAATTAATTACACTTTTTATCTATGGTCTTGGTTGAGTTAAATAAGCTAGTTTCACGAGCTCGTAACTCTAGCTCTTTCATCTCAACCAAGACATATAAAAAGTGTAATTAATTAAGATGCATTTTATGTACAGCAACAGTTTCGCTTTACTATCGGGTTGTCCGGAAAATAATGCAGGATTTTAAGTTTTCATTAAAAAAAATCTATATAAAATATTCTGTTTACGTTTACAGGATTACTCNGTATGGGAAATTATTTTGATTAAAGAACATTGCTTTAAAGTAACTAGTTTCTTTTTTTTTGTTTAATACCAAAATCCTGCATTATTTTCCGGACAACCCAATAGAAATAGATCAAATTGATTTTTTATTTCGCCTCCCTCCCCTCAAAGTAAAACAATACAGTAACCATGCTGAAAATAAAAAAATTATCTATTATTTTGGTTAAACAATTCAGCCAATCATGATAATCGTCAGCAAAAGTTGTTTACATTAAGAAATTTTTTGTTTTTCATGAGAATTATTTGTGCCTTCATTAATGAAGATATAGTTGCACAGGAACAGAAGAATCTAGAAGTCCAGTTATCTTGGACCGTTTTAATGCGGGTTAAGTCAAAGCGGTCTGATCGGAACGCGAAAAAATCCCAAGCGCGCAACATTCATAGATTTGATTGGCTTCGAAGTTTCGTAACGCTATTAAAATCGGGGCATGTTTCTTAACTTAAGTTTTGAAATAGACTTTTTTTGTGAATTTGTTGTGTTCAAGGCAAGGCTGGAACTATGCAGCATGTTGCGATTTAAACTGAAGTACGATCGCACACCGGGACTTAGCCTTTGATAGGGCTTAAATTGGGTTTTATCGTGTATAAATTACATAATAGTTTTAACTTTTAAATATAAAAGAACTTTTCATATAGTTTTTGGCTATTGAATTGAAAGTGTATACAAACGCTGACAATAAAGAGTACTGCCAAAATCAGCAAAAACCATTCCGTAAACAGAAGCTCCAAGAAATATGGAACCGTACAAATCGAAAAATATCCGCAGAAAACGAGCGACTTTCGCCTGTCTTCAGGTGCCAGTGTTCAACATCGGCTGGCGTTGGAAGAAGGCAGAGCTCAGCCATTGCGCAACAACTTTCTCCGAGCTCTTTTCACAACCGTCAATCCACAACCCAAATTTTCAAAATATTTTTCCAAATCGGAAAGAGGTAAACTCCATATGAGGATTCGACACGGAGGACTGTATTACATTCCTTAAAATGGAATTCACGTTAAGATTATAAAAAGAATGAAAATATGGCCAGACTGTTATCTGATTGCTGTACATAAATTTTTGCTTGTGAACGCGTAAAATAGAAATCCTTAAATAAACAATACTGATATTGTATAGAAACAACGCTAACTTCATATCGCCTCAGAATAAAAATTAAAATAATTTTCAAAAGAACAAACAGCCTTGATAAGTCAAAAAAGAAAAAATCACCC